ATAATTTGCAATATTTTCTATTTCAAATAATATTCAATCTGTGAACATACAACTCAATATATAATATATTGTGTGCAAAACTGGGTGGATGAAGAATAAATTCTCATATATACAAAAAGAAAAAGAATTCAATGCTAAAAGAACAATCAGCTTGTCAGAGAGAGAGAGAGAAAGAGAGAGAGAGAGAAATTTTTTTTTTTTAACACAGCCAACTTTTATGATCTCAAGTCAAATTTGATGATCACTTCAAACACCTGTGAATTCATTTCTGTCACTGCCCTCAATCCAAGCAGATCTTGAATCAGCTAACTGATATTCTACTACTTGGACTAATCAAAATAATCTCTCTTTTTTTTTTTTTTTTTTATAAAAAAAACAAACAAAAAACAATGAATTAAAAATTATCTTAATCGCCTGCTTCCAAAATTAAAACAAAACATTGAGGTCTCATTTTGTTGTGACTGTTTTAAAGAAGATGTCACAAAAATAAAATTGATGATACACTTAAAAAAAAAAAAAAAAAAAAATAATTTTGTCTTCTTTTTCATCAAATGATATAAAATAAAAAACATCACCCTCACAGTTTTGCTGATTAGACATTTAAAGATTTTTTTAAAACTAATAACATTTTTGCTCTTGTATATAAATACTTGTCACAAAATAAAATCCTTACATTTGCCTTGATAAAATACCTCAGAGGACAAATTGCATCAGCTAAGTTTTCCTTTTATCTTCATTCAAAATAATAAATCTAGTTAATTTATTAACAGCTTGAATTTTACTAACAACTCCTTGCAAGTGGATATAATTATATAAATAGATCTTTACAAAGGTTTACTTAGCTTTGTACAAAGTCATAATTATTGATAAAATCAATTCACAATGACTACTGATACTATTACACTCCAACAAGCACTTTTCTATCAATAAAACAACTTTGATTTAACCTGCTATTTTATAAAACAGCATAACTGATCAGAAAATAATTGAAACCTATTTTTATTAACAACAGAGTGGTACGCAATATCATAATTTTCAGCATGTCAATAAATTAGACATTTTCTTTGTGTGATTATAAGATTTCATTATGCGCAATTTCACAAAGTTATTTCTAGTTGGTAAAATATTTTGAATGACAAGAATTATATAAATAGAGGCAAATTAAAACATGATTTTTTTTTTCTAAACTAGATATTTTAGAACAGAGTTGGAAGATAATATTTGTATAGTTAATAAAATTAAAGGAAACATTTTCATTTTTATTTTTTTTATTGAATTGTTAAAAGAAACAAATGTCCATCATTCAGTTCTTTATAATTCCAGTTTTTATATTAAACTCACAAAAATTAAAAATTCCTTGCTTTTATGTCAGGACTAACATATATTCTAGGATATTAAACATAATAACATTTTAGGATTTTAGCATCTTCCCTAATATTTTAAATTTGCATCTACTATAAATACAGATTCATCTTTATCCTTGGAGCCACAAATTCAATTCCTGGACTAAGCCATGTAAGAGAATAGTAGTATGATTGAAAAGTAATCTGGTACCATAAATTTGATTTGAAAGTTAAAATCTTTAGAAAAGACAAACAAAGGCTAAGGGATGAAAACATTTATATTTGATTACAATGATGTATATATTTCTGTGAAGCAGGCTATGAAATTCAGCAAAAAGGGGAGATTTTATTTACTAAAATCAGAGGATGGATATTTAGATAAAGTTCTGCTTCAATGTTTTGAATGAAAATAAATGTTTCATTTGTTATTACGAAAAATGGATGAAGCCAATATGTTGTTGTTATTGTCTGTAAATTAATTACAGAGATATAGCATATTATTGGCTGCCAGTTACATTAAAGTCAAGAGGAGATAATAAAACAGATTGCAGGGAATTTTTGGATCCATGCCTTCCCATAGAGATGTTAACACAGAATGGCACTGGTAGACAATGAGTATAATTTGAAACCATTTCTCTGTTTTTACTCTTTGATATGAGTATTTTCACATGCCTTGACAGTGTTTTTCTTAACAAGTCCCGTGACAAATTTAAGTAATATGTGAAGAAAATAAACCTTTGTCTTTACTCTTGGTAAAGTAATCCCCCCCCCCCATTTTTGCCCTGGGGAAAGTAAACTTGGTTTACAATTATTTGCAAAGATAGTGAAATATTGCAATGTATATGTAGAACAATGAAGAAAGAAATACGGCATTCCAGATAACATGATAACAGCACAAAAAGCCCAAAATTATGCACAAAAAAGGCAGTTTGTAGCACGAGGACAGGAGGGATTTATAAAAATAATGTATAGTGTTAAAAAAAAAAAAAAAAAAAAAGTTAAACATTCATTATGGAATATGTACACCAGCATATAATATACATGTGTGTGTGTTTTTTTTGTTTTGTTTTTTTACAGTTTATCAACCTTTTTGCAGGTTATTTAAAGCCAGAAAATATTTTTAGATTGTAAAGATTTTTGGGAGATGATGATTTACTGATACAAGTACTATTAATTAACCTATAGCTAGAGGGAAAAAGAGTTGGATTCATACCTTTCCCAAAAGTATTTGGGTGTAAGTTAATATAACAAACCTGACTAGAATTGAAATTTGGTTCTTCAATTTCCAATTCTGAGCCATTATCCATTATAACATCTGCACATTCATGCTTACAGCACCTGGTGTTACCAAGCAGTCACCTATCTATGTACTAACCAGGCTTGATGCTGCTTAACTTCAGTGATCATACAAGAACCATTGTTTCAATGTGATATGGCCATAAGCTGTGTGAAATATTGACACTTTTTGGCAGAAGGCCATACAAAAGACTTATCTGGTCCTTATGCAATCTCATATAACTCTTCAGATAAACTGCCAACTCCTTAAGTCAATTTGGATGGCATCAATAGTTTACTTGGGAGTGCTTAGTGTCCTGAAATCGTAGCTGACAAGCAAGTCCTGCTTTGGATGGCTATATATATATATATATATATATATATATATATATAGCTAGCTAGCTAGCTAGATAGATAGATAAGTACTTAAAAGCTCTAGATGTTAAAATTTTTATCTTTTTTAGACGTGTATTGACTACTTTTTAATACTACTGTTTCTTGGTCTAATTCAACTCTGACCATTAACCTTTTTAATATTATTTTATAGTATTAATACAAATATAAAATTTATAACTTAGCTGATTGGTTATTTTTTTTTAAATATTGGAAAACCACTTTCAAGCTAAACATGCTTTACCATTAAGTTATTGCAAGCCATTACAGCAAAGCAAGACTTGATGACTAAGAAATGCACATCTCTCATTTGTAGTTTAATGGTAAAGCACATTTGGCTTGAAAATAGTTTCCCAGATTAAAAAAGGAATACAAATTAGATTCCTGTTGTTTAATTATTATCAGAAAAAAAAAAATATGAATAGGCAGGTAGGTAATTGATAGCTCTCTCATTATACGCACAAAAATGGATACAGAAAAGCTCTTGGTTTCAGCAAGACACCCTTCCATACAAAAACTAAACAAAGTATAGTGTGGCTTGATAACTTTTCAACTTTGTGTGCGTGTGTGCATACACACACACACACACTCAACATTTTTCAGAGTGCACAGGTAGAAGTGCCAATCCATATGTAAATAATATTGTTATTTTGTGGGTAGAGAGCCATGATCGTTCATGTCCTGAAAGAACATGACACATAAAAGATCTTAACATTGAAAGGGATTTAATTATTTTCAAATCTACTGCCATACAATATTTGATATAAGCTAACCCTGTGCTCTTCTACATAGATTACTAAAAGAGCAGCATACAATAAGCTGGTGAGCTTCCCTTGCTGAAAGGGATGCACAACTTTTCATTACTAATTGATACATATTTTATTTCTTGCTAATTTACTGGTTGCAGTTGATTAATATTTTTCAATGTCAAACTTTAAAAAGACTCAATATCAGATCTACTATCATTTGAACAATTGAATCCCTGCTTGAACTCTGCCAATTATATTTTGCCAAATCCATTCTTCAGCATATTTCTTTCTTCAAGGAAAATCCCTAAAAACAAATGGCAATGGAAAAGAAGTCTTTAATAGACAAACAAAACAACTTTTTAGCAGCTTGAGATATACCTTGACAAGTGATAGAGAATGGATTCAATTGTCCAAATAATAATCTTGTGTAAGTTAATGATTCTTATGAAAGTTTTAGGCAGTATAAAAAGTATATAAATGTAATATTATCTGGACAATTGAGCTTCATATATGGGCTGATTATAATAACTTTTCAGCCAATACCTGATAAAAGTTGCATTTTTTTTCTTTTTCATGAAATACACTTGATAAAGGCTGAAGAATTGATTGGTAAAAATATTCTGTTATAGAAAGTTCAATTATCCAAACAATATCGGGATACGTATATTTTCCAGGCCTGAAGAGTTGCTTCTTGACTTCTCGTATGTAGATCTCAGCTTAATTAAACTATTACTCATAATTTGACTTCTAATTAAAAATTACATCTTAAAAAAAAAAAAAATACATGAATATATATAATTGATTGTGTTGGTTCATTTTTTGAAAAAAAAAAAAAAAGCTTGCAAATTGATTTTTGTAAATTGAAGCTATTGCAAATATTGCTATATCCAAATGTATAAATATTATGTTTTTACTTACATGTCATCAAATTACGCATAATTTAATAATTCAAACAAAACTATAATATAATATGAAAATTTCTCAAACAGTAATGAGCACATATGTATGGCTATAAAGAAAAAAATCAAGTTGTTTTAAAGTATTAATTTGTCACTTGATGAGAAAAAAAAATATTGAAGAGTTATTTCACTTTTTAATAGATTTTTGTTTTGCAAGGTCAAAATGGAAAAAAAAAATTACTTGTGCTTCCTCTGAGTTATAATTTTAAAAGTCATTTGACTTCCAAAATTAATATTTTCATTAATAATATTTTATTAATTTTTTGCCTTGTCAATTATCACATTTTAGTTTGCATAAAAACAGAAATAAATTTGTAGCTCTTAATGAGACTTGAACATACATTTTATATGGTTGATGCTCTAACCAATAGAAACCTCAAAATCAGGCCAAACACTTATCGATAATCATATTGCAACTCCCTACATCCAATTTTTAGGCCACGTTGTATACTACTATGTAGTAATAATAGTAGTAGTCCTTGTTTTAGACTGTATTCAAAGATTAACTAATTTTATTATTAATTTTTAACTAATTTCATTTACCTTCCTGCTGAAGTAAAATGTTTGTCCTGCCACTGGAGGTGGCCCTGACCGATGAATGATGGTTTGCTTGAATTTTGTGGTTTGGCAATAGAAACTAAACTTGCCTGAACTACTGCAATTGAGGAGCCTTAAAAAAGAATGCAGTGGCAGGGGAAGTTATATAGTGAATAATGCAGAGTGATAAAAGTTAAAATGTCTAAGCCAAACCATTTAATTGGAAAAATAAAATTTAGTTTGGTCTAGTTTAGTCAATACTCTTGTCTGTTCAATGTTAGCTTGTTCACTTGCTGATTATATTTTTTTTCTTAAATTTCTTTTGATTTTTCTTATAGATTTGGAAGTTTTCAGTTCATTTAATAATAAAAAAGGAACAACTTACGAAATTTAGCAGAGCTACATTTTGTACATCCATACAGACTGAATTTACTGCTCACATTGAATGTCGCAAACAGATTAAATTTAAAGTTTAGATATTAGAGATCAAACTAAATGGGGATCATTTTGATATAGATATATTCAAAATTCATGTTTCTTTTTGTATAGAAGATGTTAGTTTAATATCAATGTTATTTTCTTTCCACAAAAAAATTCTTCTGTTGTGTTGCTCTAACAGCTTCATCTATTCCAATGTTTGTCTCTCAATATTAAATTTAATACTGAATGAAAAGGCAAGTAATTCTGATTATAAGTTGAACCATGCGCCTATTAAATGTCAGCCATTTTAGAGAAGAGAATTCATCAACTCAAAGGTTTGAGTTGATTTCATGTTTATCCACTAGATTAAAAGGAGTTGATTAAATTTGTAAAATAAATCAGATTTTGATTGGTAATTTGTTCAAAGAAAGAACACATTCCATTTGAATTGACTAGTCATTTCTTTTTTTTTAATATTAAATCACTTGATGTCTATTCAAAATTTTTAACTAATTTCAAGCCAATAAATTTTGAAGTTCAGTTCTCTTGACAATACTTTCAACTTTGATAAAGTCAATTTCACAGAAATAATTGATTTTTTTTTTTTTCATTTTAAGTCTATTTATTCTGGATTATTCTACATAACCTAGAATAAGATAGATCAGGAAATTGTTAGCTCAGGTCTAAATAAAGTAACAATGAACATGTTTAAATGTTTCAGTTAAAATCCCATAATATTCAAGGATTTCTAAAATTTATACTTGCCAGTTAGATTAATTGGCCTTTTTTCTGTTTGAGTTGGAGATTCAAATCTGATCTTCGTGGGTTGGAGTGAAGAAGTAGGCTTTTTCATTTCCATGTACATTCTACCCATAATTCTTGGTTTGTACATAATACTTGGAAGATCTTTAATATTCAAATTATCTAAATAGATTGTGGATCACGCAACAGGCATTTGTCTTTCTTTTTTTTTTTTATCAACATCCCCCTCGCTAAGTTCAGAACTCTTCATTCAGAAATATAAAATCCATAAATTAAAATGGATATAAAAATTTTGGCCCATATTTGTAAAAAGATGAGCAAGATGATTTATGAGCATAACCCTTACTAAAAGAAATCTTTTTTTTTTTCCTTTAAGCACCTTTAATTCTAGTTTCTTTTAAATCTGTTTTCAAAACAAGTCTTTTAGGGAAAAAATGTCTTGTAAAAATATCCTGTTATGTATAGAAAGTTGACATCAAGTAATGAACAGTGTCCTCTTTTATATTCCAACTTTTTTTTTTCTTTTAATGTATAGATAAATCAAAATTTTAAAGAGAAAAATCATTTCCTGGCATCAAAGATGTTGCTTTTTTTTCCCTAAAATAAATCTTGGAGTTTTACTGGTTCTTCAAACTCAAATATTAAATTGCTTCTCAGCCTTCAGTTAATTCTAAAGAAATCATTTTAATATTTCGTTTCAAAAATTTAGCTCAATAAATTAGAGGTACATCTTGGAAGCCAGTGCATCTTTGATATCAAGAAATAAAGCATTTAAGGGTAGTGTAATATATTCATCAGTGTGGTGTGACCAAAAATGTCTTTCATATTTGGTAACATGACGAGATTAAAAGAGGACACAACACGTGGAATCACATGATCAATGAAGGACTTGTTGCCATGTGCTGATGTGGTATATTGTCATTATTTTTGGGGGGGATAAAGAAAACAAAAAAACAATTGTGTATATTAGATCATTTTTGGAGGAAGACAACCAAAGTTATAGGAATTTCAATATACAAGAATTGACTTTGTCACAGTTCATAAAAATATAAACAAATAATCACAAATGTATTAGAATTGTGTAATCAGTTTTAAAAGCAAAAAGATTTAACAGAGACAGCCATAAAATAAGTGGAAAAAGTTAAAGTATCGTTTGGTTAGACATAAAAAAAAAAAAAAAAATATCAGTTTTTTTTTTTTTTTTTTATTTGATTTTTTTTTGTATATCATTAACAAAAAAAATTTAGCAAAATATTTCCTCATGCCTAACGTAGTGTAATAACTACCCCCTCCCCCACCGGTTGAAATCATGTTTCCATTGTAACTGGAAAAATAAAATAAAAATAAATAAAGGGCATTACTTATTTAAAATTTTGGTTAACATTTCTTTCATGAATTTTGTGGGGTCGTTGTGTAAAACTTAATGACTGGACAGCTGAATATAGATGGTTTCAGATCCTTTTCAAAAGGGTTTTTTGTATGTAAAATAAGAATCCGATTAGAGTCGGATCAATCACAAATTGCTTATTGAAGGATTATAACGGCCCTTGATGCAATCCAATTATCTAAAATTGATATTACTACTTTAATTTACATTTTTAATGGTCAGTTTCTCGCCTTCCATATAATTATTATTCTTATCATCGTTGTCGTCAACATCATCATCAACTTCGTCTTCCTCCTCGTACTCATCATCTGTTTTTAGTTTCCCAGTCTCTGGCCCACTCTCTGACTGAGTAGTGTGAATACGTAGGTGTCGTTTAAGGGAATAGGAAGCCCCAAAATTACGTAGGCAGACATGACACTTAAAGGGTTTCTCACCAGAATGCGTGCGCATGTGACGGCGCAGGGTACCAGACAAAGCAAATTTCATGTCACACATTGTACAAGAGTAAGGTCGTTCTCCAGTATGGCAACGCAGATGAATAGAAAGATTGTTTGCACGAGCAAACTGCCGATGACAAATTAAGCATTCTAAGGAACTATCACTACCATCAGCAGAGGAAGCAACCGTAATCATTCGTTTTGTTGCAGACTTCTCGGCTTCAGTATCAGAAGGATCAGTTTTATTGTCCACCGATTCCACACTAGGATTATCCATTTCAGTTCTTTCACTGCTGCTATTGCTATTATTTCTCTCTTTGCCCTTTTCTGAGGGCAGTTTCTCCAGGTGATATTCTGCCATGTGCGTATCAAGTGCCTCTCTATTTGGAAACGTTATTCGTCTGTTCTTTTCGATTTGACAGACTTGGCAGAAATGCAACGTTGCCGCAATCTCATCAGCATGAACGCGAAGGTGTCGGTTTTGGTGCGCACGGGTCAGAAACCGTTTCAAGCAGTACTGGCACTCAAAAAGCTTCTTCTCAACATGGGTTCGAACGTGGGATGCCAAAGTGGTTGCATGTGAAAAAGTTCGGTCACAGCGATCGCATTTATATGGTTTCTCCTCTTCCTCATGAGTACTTAGATGTCTGTTTAAATCATCAAGATGGTCAAAGCTTTCTGGACATTGTGTACAGGCATAAAGCTGGGGTCCAGAATGGCATTGCAGGTGCTCAGTGAGGCTGCCAGAATCAGGAAATTTCTTATTGCAGAACTGACATGCAAACGGTTGCCATCCAGTGTGTACTTTTTCATGTGCTTCACAATGAAGTTGGCAAGAAAATGTTTTTGGACAGAAACCACAGCTATATTTTTTATCGTCCGAATGTGTGCTTATGTGGGTGGCCAAGTCACGCGTGTCAGAGAAGACTTTGGCACAAATCTGGCATTTGTAAGCCAGTTCCCTAGTGTGTTTGCTCATGTGCCTAGTCAATCGAGATAAGTTACGGAATGCCTTATTACAAACGTGGCAAGTCTTGCTATGCGAAGTTACGTGAGCCTTTAGTTTCTCCTGGCAGGGAAAGAGCAAGCGACAATACCTGCACTCAACTAGCTGACTGTCTTCATTGCGTTCATGTAGTTTCATGTGTCGGATGAGGTGGGTATTACGTGCAAAAGCCTTTTCGCAGATTTTGCATTTATGGTCCTTGATACCGGTGTGAGTGACAAGATGAGACGTGAGACTAGTTTTGTCTGTGAAACCCTTCTCACAAAAACTGCACTTGTATGGTCGGATGCCCGTGTGAATGCGTCGGTGCCGCATCAAGTGGCTTGATGTCTTGAAGGTCTTGTCACAGAAGCTGCATTGGTAAGCACGGCTGCCCTGGTGTTGTTCCATAACATGCTCAGCGAGCATCGACTGGTTATCGTAAGTCCGTTTGCAGAACTTGCAAATGACCTCAGCTACCCGAGTGTGAATGCGCAGGTGGCGATTCAAGTGACTTCTTCGCTTGAACGTTTTGCCACATGGAATACACTTCAGGTCGATGACCATGCCGGATGCATACGCGATTTGCAAATCATCTTCAATAAGTGGCAAAGGGATTATGGGCTTTCTTTTCCTGGGCGAAGTTCGCCTCTCAACTAAAGTACAAGTATTGGCAGTAATTTCATCACAAGTCTGATCTGGATTTACCGAGTCTTCAAGTTCCTTATCTCCAGTAGTTGGCTCCAATTCCATCTTAATATTTGTATCTAGATTTTCATTTTTTGTTTTATTGTCAGCATCAAAGATTTCTTGGTTTGTTTTTGTATCATTCTTTTCATCAGAGTCAGGATTTTGACTAATAGAATCCAGGAGTTCGTCAACTAGAAAATTTGGACTTGCTTTCACCTTTGGTTTCTCTTCTGACTCAGAATTCTCTGCTTCACTATTGCTGTTTGCAAAAGCTTCCAAGACTGATTTGGATTTTTGGGGCTGCTGACCTGTCTCTGCTGACATTTCCTCCTCTTTTTCAGCTTGATGCTTCCTGCGATGGAAGGACAACAGTCGGCCATTAGAAAAACATTTAGAACAAATCTCACATGTGAATGTCTTCCGCTTGGAAATGGACTTGCGGGGTTGAAGTGGCAAAGGCTGCAAATTGTTTTTTAAAAAAGTCGATGAATAGTAAGGGGAATGAGTGGATGAGCCATCACTAGGGCCATCACAGCCAACACTAGCAACATCAGTAGAACAAGTGCTAGCAGTACCTGTATCATTAGCTGTAGTAGTAGTAGTATCAAGAGCACTAGGAGTATTAAGTGGTGCATCACCAATACCAGTATTTTTCTTCATATGAACAGCCATGTGATTGACTAACATGCTAACATTTTGAAATGTGGCATCACAGCATTCACACTTTATAAGCCGCATCTTCATTTTGGAGATGGAGCAGGGGATTCTTGGACCTGACCCGATGTATCACAAGTTCAAATTAATTTATTTTTTTTTATAAAAATAATATATATCTGTTTCTGTGTGAGGATGTGCACATTATTTTTTTTTTGTACAGATAAGTCTTTTGTTTTAAAAAATAAAAGTAAAATAAAGCATTACTCACATTTTTTCTCCTCTGTTCACTTTAATGTGGATATAAATATTAATTATAGTCGGACTAATGACTTTTTTTTTCCTCTGGCAGTTTTGTTCTCCATAGAAGACTTTTTGCAGAAGCACTTCTGGCTTGCTTCTTAAAATCATTTTAGTCAAACACATCACAGAGTTGCTTTTATGTAACAAATAAGTAAATAATAATAATAAAAAAAAAATAACAATAAACAATTGTCCTTCCAGTAATTCCCATACAAGTCAGATTGTGATTAATATTTAAAAAGAAAAAAAAAAAAAAAAAGCAAATCAAAGATTGACAGTTTTCCAGAATATTTTAGTCAGCATTTTAAAAGACGCATAAAGTCATTGATTGATGGACATTTTAATTATATAATCTTTGAGAAACTTTTTCTACTAAGTTTCATAGAAAACAAAACAAAATGTTAGTTAATAATTCAGTTAGTAATCATCATGAAGAGAAACAGGACAAAAATCATTAATGTGTATTGGAGTTATTTAAAAAAAAAATACAATATTTGTCAGATGCACCCACCTGACTTTTCTGACATATTCATTTACAGATTTAGTGGTTAAATTCTTTGATTAGCTCCAAGATGTGCAAATAATCTTTAAAATAAATAAATAAATAAATAAAAAGGTGTTCACCATGTAAATATAAATTGATGACTTAATAATTATCTTTATATGATAATGAGTTTTCTAACATGGCAAGAAAAAAAAAATGTTATAAAGTTAATTTAGTGAAAAATAAAATTCTAACCAAACCCTTGTTGGCAAACAAATATTTCAATTCTGGTCACTTGCCCAACCCACCTCTTTCTCTGGGCTTTGGACCAAGTTTTGTAAGGACAAGCTCTTCAACAGGTGTGCAATTTGTTTAGCAGACTTGACATTCACAAACAGTACCTACTTTTTTTTTTTTTTTTTCAGGAGAGGGCCAGATTCAGTATCACATGGTCATTGTAAGAATTTTTTTTCTTTTTTTGTTTCATTTCCTTTTTCTCTCTCAATTTGCAAATCTGGAATCTGTTGAGGAGAAAAATAGAAAAAGGAAAATATTTAAAATATACAAACATCTATATATTTTTTTTATTATTTCAAAAGTTAATATAGTGGGTACTCATATTTGAAATAGACACCCCATTTTTATTATTATTATTATATTAAACAGTGTATTTCAAATCCCAAGTATCCAAATATTGAAGTAATAAAAATGTTGGATAAAAAACAAATTTATTAATTCTTTAGAAAAAAGATCTATTTATAAAAATTTTACAGCCAGATAATATTTGATACTGAGCTACTAGAAATGATTGTTATGCGTGTATTTTCAACATGAAGATGATTGATTTGTTTTTTATGGCTTATCAACCCTTTGCAGCAGGTTATTTAAAATATTTTTAGATAGTAAGAATTTTTTTTTGACATAATGATTTAGTGATACAAGTCTTAACCATTTAACCCATAGCTGGGGGGGGAGAAAAGAGGTGGCTTCATTCCTTTCCCAAGGTTACTTGCATGTAAGTGAATTTTAATAAACCCAACTAGAGTTGGAACTCTGATATCCAATTAACAATTCCAAGTGATTATCCTGCCCGCCAACCTAAGCTTACAGCATTTGGTATTCCCAAACAGTACCCATCTCGGTACTGATCAGACTTGATGTTACTTAACTTTGGGAACATATGGGAACTGGTGTTTTAACATGATATGGCTGTAAGCAACATGAAGATTTAAGGAACTCCATAGTCAATGACCTTGCCCAGAAAAAGGTCCTTTCTGCAGGAACCATTTCTCCAGTTTATAGGAATTCATAATGAATGCCACTAAAACTCCCTAGTTTCCCTATAGAGATTCCATTTCAATTGAAATATTGGAAGTGTTTAAAGGCTGACTGATGTTTGCAGGGCTGGTATAAGGGTCTCGCCCCCACCCCCACTTTATACATTTCAATTTTCATAAGGTTGTATTCATGTAAGATATAAATTTTATTGTAACCTAATTATAAATGTAGGTAGAAAAAGGTAAATGTTGATAAGATAGTAAGACTCAGAAAGAACTGCCTGGGCCCTCAATCAAGCTCCCCCTGATCAAGGTGTTTGGTGGGGTAGTATATGCCAGACCTGGCTGTTTGTTTCTGTAAGTTCACGAAGAAGTCATTTTCTGAGATTTAGAACACATTTATTGATTCATGGTACTGACAATAAAGAACTGCATAAGCTTTCAAAGACCATTCTAATATTTATTTAACACTCTGCAAAAGAGGTCTCTGGGTACATCCACACAAATGTAATATATTTTACTATCTTTTCATGCTGGGGGAAAGTAAAGCATTGTATTTGATGGCATATAAGAGTGGAACTCCTTACAACTCCCACTCTTAAAAAAAAAAAACAAATCTTATGAAGAATTCTGATAAATCTCATGCCTTGAAGAAAGTCTAATAAATGCTAATCAACAAAAATTATTTCCAAAAATTTTTTTTATATTTTTTTCTTTTGAGTGCACCAATTTATTTAAGTAGTGCCACAAAAGACATGTGAAGAAGAAAAAAAGCTAAAAGAAATCATCCCTTAAAAAAGTTCACCCCTATCTTTGTACAAAGAAAGATTTTCTTTATAGAGTTTAACCTCTATACACCAATTTCCAGTATCTAATTATCATACTATTCTGATTTAGTGAATTTCATTGGATAATAAATATTCAAGTAAATTTATTGTGTATTTACTTTTGCTGATAACAAATTTTGTACATCCTAAGCACAAAGTGGATCCAAATTGTTTTTTTGTAAATACTATTGCTGATTGGTCAATACATATAAAAATTGGTAACACCTACACAGTAGTGTTTAAAATGAGTTGACCACCAAAATTTCTAAACGTTTTCATGAGCCTATTACATGACTAGAAAACAAATTCAATGCACAAGCAAACCTAGTCAATGAGCATTTTTGCACAACTAGCAATTGCCAAACTAGTCCACGACACTTGTATCATTGAAGTGCAAAGTTAGAATTTCAATTTCTTCAACACAAAAACAATTTCACTGTAATTCATGTTAAAATATTCAACTCAATCACCAACTTCTTCTGGATTTTTTTCATTACTTACTGAAAACTTCTCAATCACAGTATTGATTTTTGACTGAATCTACAGAACATTCTTACACTGGAATTTACTGTCCATCAAGTTTAATTCTTGACTGAAGAACGAACTACCTTCCAGAATTCTTGTAAAATATTTTTTATGCAATCTTTGACACACACACAAACATATAGTCAAAGGCAGACAACTTTTGTTAAACTCTTACATTATGAATTTCATTTCAGAAACTATTTTACAAACTGTTTAAAATTTAAACAAGTTTATCTAATAATAAATTCTATCAAAATTTCACATACTATACAAGACAAAACATTCACTTCAGTGAACTCAAGCTCACATGACACTAAACATTATAAGAGTTTAAAAAGCAAATTTAAAATCCATCAAATAAATCTCTCATTCACTAAAATTCAATCAACACACATTTATTATGTATCTTATTTTATATAAAATATTCTTATTGTTGTTATCTGAGATTTGTTGTTTGTGTCCTATTTATGTTTTATCAATGTTGTGGAACTAGCGGAAATAGCTAATTTACCTACGCAACTTTCACCTTTACCTTCATTTTTCTAACATTTATGACCCGACAAAATAGTTAATTAGCCACACCTTTCTTTAGCTTGATTGGCACTGATCATAGTGAGTCACTTAAAAGAAAATTAAAAAGAGTAGACACAAAACAATAAAGGAAAAACAATTTAAAATTTAACCCTAGAATGGTACACACATAGATTCTGAAATAAATAAATTATAGCAAAAATACATAGCTAGCAGACAATACATAGGATCAGTATAACCAATGTATTTTTTATCCAATAAAAACTTTTTAAAACTATTTTCACCCTGAGTGTGCGAATTCAATGAGGGGAAAGAAGCCGGAAGAGAATTCCACAAGCGAGAAGTGCGAGAGAAGAAACTTTAAGTAAGAGATGCTCATGGCAGACCTGGTTCCGTCAGAACACGAAGTACCGTTCTCTAGACTTAAGGTTAAGAACATTAGTGAATTAAAACAAAAATGAT